TGGTTTCTGTGATGCTGAACACTGCGACACTGATGTGCCAAATGTGATAATGGTTACCCATGGTGGACAGTGTTTGGTGGAGTTCCCCATTAAAACAAGCCTGGAAGCAGGAGTGGCATCCTAAATGGCTTGCATCCGGAAACTCTGCAAACAGTTCTCAGGCCTTTCAGTCATACCGTCGCTAAATCATCAACAACTCGATGGCACTTAACAACAACACAAAATAATTTAATATGTCAGACTCCAATAGGGGAAAAAAAGTCAATTTGAGAATTGTGGAGATCATTAAGTATTGCAATTAAAGCTTATATAACATGGCAAATGAGTAATAAAGAACCACCACCTCCACTGCCTACTAAGAACTTACTTTAAGTAATCATGTATAGCTGGTTTCCATGGATGCTTGTTGAATATCGTGTGTGTGCACGCATGTGTGTGTGATCTGACTATTCACACTTGTTATAAATTCCAGTGAATTACCATATTAAAGATTTATATCTCTCTTCCTAACAGGGCAAGCAATTTTTTAATATAATCTCAAGGAGTGGTTTCCACAAAATGATTCATATAAACAGCTCATTCTCTGATTTAAATATTTTTTTTTTCAAAAGTGAGCGATGCATACAATTTTCTCATTTGTTTTGGTCCGGAAATAGCATACATCATCTCATAAAGAATCATAAAGGATGTGAAGTTTTTCATCTTTTTTACAAGCTGACAAGTTAGCCTGTAACAACTTCATGGATTCTGGCAGAAAATGTGAGTCTTGATACAGAGACAAAGGACAGTTTACTGTTCGCAGAAACACCCGTTAACATGGCATATCAGCAATTTTTTGTTACCTGTTTCTTAAATCAATTCTCAGAGAATTAGTCTAGCCTGTCTTGTTGTCCATTCCTACCAGCTACATGGAATAATTTAGTTATAATTGTGTCAATAGAAGTGAAGAAGACAGGTGACAATAAATGTTTTGGATAAGAGTTGTAAGATGTATAGCCTTCCCACCAGTACGACAAATAATCAGTAACATTAATCAGATACAATTGTATTCAGAGCCATTTGATAAGGAATTTAATACTTAACAGTCAATAAAAGTTAGGAGACTTAGAACATTTTGTGAGAGTACATGAAAGCATTTTTCTTTATGAGGAATAATCCTAGGGATGTCTGAAATAAACAATATTTCCATGTCTTTCCTTTCCCACTAAATCCAAGGACCTGAAGTGTTCCATTGCCAGGTGCAAAAGTTGTTGTTCTCACATCATTCTGTATTGATTTTTGTGCTGTGCAATAAAGTACTCAAAATTTCTAACTCAGTGTAATTAAGTCAGAACTGCATCATAACTGACACCCTGACGGGTTTTGGAGGCTGTAAATTGCATAAGAAAATGTTGACTATTTTCTCAAGAGGAGAAGTTGATGGATTCTAACTGCTTTTCTTTGAATTGGCAGCACAATTCCCCGCCCCATAGGCCACGAGAGTTTCCTAACTAGAGATTTAGCAGCTTAAAATAAACTTTTAGTTATAGTTATTATGTGTCATCAAGTTGTCTACAACTTTAAGCAACTCTTTGAACAATGACTCTGAACCTCGTCCTATCCTACTGTTATTTCTGATATATTTGAACCCAGAGTGTCAATTCACTTCATTAAGGGTATTCTTCTCTTA